ATCGAAATGGAAGACTAACATGGAGCATGCTATACTTATGCCACTGAAGACTAACATGGAGCATGCTATACTTATGCCACTGAAGACTAACATGGAGCATGCTATACTTATGCCACTGAAGACTAACACGGAGCATGCTATACTTATGCCACTGAAGACTAACATGGAGCATGCTATACTTATGCCACTGAAGACTAACATGGAGCATGCTATACTTATGCCACTGAAGACTAACATGGAGCATGCTATACTTATGCCACTGAAGACTACATCGAACATGCTATACTTATGCCACTGACGACTAACATGGAGCATGCTATACTTATGCCACTGAAGACTAACACGGAGCATGCTATACTTATGCCACTGAAGATTAATATGGAGCATGCTATACTTATGCCACTGAAGACTAATATCGAGCATGCTATACTTATGCCACTGAAGACTAACATGGAGCATGCTATACTTATGCCACTGAAGACTAACATCGAGCATGCTATACTTATGCCACTGAAGACTAACACGGAGCATGCTATACTTATGCCACTGAAGACTAAATAAGGCACGCACCCCTAGTGTGTTGCAGCGCCCACACAGCATCCAACCCATCAACCAGTCAATCTCATAGGAATGGTTCAGAATGACGATGCCATGTTCCGTGCCGTAGTATTTTGCATCAGCTTCATTGTCAACCACAAGTGTGATATCGGCATCAGCCCACCACTCTGCCAGGAACACTAGTTCTGTAATAGAAGGAGACTTTGCAGGTCCGCGTTCAAACGTGATGCGTGTTCGACTGTGTAACTCGCACACAACCTCAACTCGTGGAAAACAGCTCGATCGAACTAGTTACGAATAACCTACGGGTCGATGTGAAGTTATTTGGACTTCCAGTGCGTGCGACGAGTTATCATCGAACGTACAGTGACCCACAACTCACTGCTAGCATATGAGCAGTTAGGATTTTAGGGGTACAGTTACACCTATGCAGTGTTTCCCCTGGCCAAACAGGTCTGTGAGGTAGTAAACATTTTTTTTTTGTATTTGCGCGTTTCGAAGTCCTAGCAAAGCGAACACTGCAGGTGCTCGCCCAGCTAGGGGGGTCTGTGAAATTTTTCCCCATTTTGAAAAAATGGTGCAATTTGGCACATTCTAAACTATTTTGGTGCATTATAAGCACTGTTGTATGGAAGAACATTGATTTTCGTCAGCGAGGCAGTGTTTTGGACAAATTTCTGTGTGGCGGCAGAGAATTTGATCGCTCGTGTCAATGCAGGGAAATACTGCCTATTAGCAGACATTTCTCCGGAATAAACAGCTGTCAATAAAGGACTAATTTGGTATTCCCATGAGTGCCTGATCATATACAGACTTGACTGCGCAATAAAGGTCATATTTAGAATTCTTTTTCGTAGTAGTTTTTAGTATAGTACTCATTGCAAAACAATATAACATAAGTTCAACTCTTTTACTTACGTATCCAGTGTGAATAGCAGAGTTTTGAATTGATTATCCTATACCACTTCTTGGAAAATGGCCATACCAGACAGCAGCAACATAGCTGAAGGAGGTTCACTATTAATCCACTAATAATGAACACGTAACCTGCAAAAAAAGTGTATCACTGATAAAACAAGTACATAGTGCTAATACTTTTATTCAAGATACTATACGTGGCTTACTAAAGATACACATATGTAATATGTATAGTATAAGTACAACTACAAGTGGTATGCAATACATAACCAGCTCTGCCATGTTAACACTATACCCGCATTGAAATGATAAACAAATCTATCTATTGTTTCATTCTGGAAAACATCTAATTTAAGCATGTGAAATGTTTGATATGACTACAACACACTCTAATACACTATGTCAATCTTACTTTTTTATGCTCATATCAGATGCATTTTACCAACCTAAAAACAGTTGTGGAAGAAACCATGTCTTGAACTGAGCGATGAACCCCATGATAGTAGCTATATGGGCTGAGCAGACTCCAACCAACACTCGGCCACGGCACACGCAACTGACGCGAAACAATTTGCTGAAAACTAATCAAAACGATAGTTAGAATTTTCTCATCGAGTTATTAACTTGATTCACAGGGTCGATTATATAATCAATTTACTTCAGTCGTTAGTTGTTCAACTACACTTTACTAATACACTTCCAGTTATGTATAGGGATTTCATTGGAAGCCAGTGCGCACTGAATTCACGGATCGACTTGTATTTTGTACTTTGGATCGTATGTCACGCATTCACAGCATTTTGACCTGCAGCTAGGGGTGGCTTAACATGTCAGAGGCCCTTAGTACCTCATCTTATCTCTCTCCTGATACTTTTAATCACAGGCTTGGTACTTACAAAACCATAACATTTAGGCAAGCCCCTTTACAAAATATGAAATGCATTTTAACTATCGTTTCATCATCAAACAACAGTGCTAAGTTTACTGAACTATTTTAGATCAGTATTTTATACGTGTACATATTCATCAATAATTTCCATACAACATAAATAAAGAATTCTTGCACTATGGACTCCACACTCTAGCTATTTATAGGTGGTTATTATCTGTACACCTATTATCATATTGTCAATCAATCAGAGAAATGTACGCATAAGCAATATAAATGTTTCGACTGTCCCTAATGTTGTGTTTTGTAATCTAGTTTCTTACAAGCCTTAGTCTATCTCATGAGACTGCTTTAGGGTTTGATGCGAACATGTAGTATCACCCACAACCATAAATTTGATTAAGCTACTCAACAACAGGTAGTCACGAGCGTCACTGAGGCATCAATGCATAAAGCACCTGCTTCAGTCCAGCATTATACAATTCATCAAGTATCCTTAGTTAAGCTCGCTCAGGAACCGTCAGGAATGCCTCATGTATATAACAATCGTACAGCGATAATGCCAAATTACGAGGGTTTTCATGGAAACCGATTTACCGAATGACAACTCCTGTTTATGTGTTCGATTTTGCTTTTCTCTCAGAACACAAAGATAAACATGCAAGTGTCGCCATGCAAATGAAACACCTTAATATGATCACTGGCCATTTATATTTGTGCGCCACCTACTACTATATTATGTGGAGGTATACCGTACGTACTTATGTAGGGGGAGTATCAAACTGCACACTCTACTTGAGACCCTATGACTAGTGTATACATACTATAAGTTCACACTAGGCTATATTTGTTATGACGATATGACATCAACGTCACACGTGCAGCTAAAAGATCTTATACTGTATTACTATTATTATTATTATCATCATTAATGAATTTCCTGTGGACCGCTGCGATGGCTCAATGGTTGAGTGCTTGCCTCGTATGTGGAAGGTCGGGGGTTCAACTCCCGGCCGGGTCATACCAGA